TGAGTAGCGATTCATGCTACAACATAGATGAACCTTGAAAACTTTCTGATAAGTGAAAGAATCAGGCACAGAAGGCCACATATTACATGATTTCATTTATATGACGCGTCTAGAGATGGCAAATCTGTGGAGACCGGAAGTAGATTAGGGGTTTCCTGGGGCTTAAAAAAAAATAAGAGAAGGAAAGACACTGGGTGGTCAGTGTTTGAGGGGATATCGTGTGTGTATTGAAATCGCCAAGATTGACAGAAGTTGTGCTGGGCAAGAGAGACATGAGGGAGCTGCTAAGTCTTCAAGGAATGAGGAGTCAGTAGGTGACTGCGCCAAGAAATGGCTGCAGATGGCGCCATCTATGGCATGAGCTCAAAAACTAGAGGTTTTCTGGGAAGAAGGAGGGACAATGATCCAGAAGTAGCTGCGGGAAGCTAGGAGGACACCTGCCCCACTTCCTGGGATACAGAACACTGAATGCATGTGCTTCTGGTTTATAATTAATGATGGCAACAGCCTGGTGTGAGGTGGGCAGGGGGTACCAGTGGAAAAACGCTCTGGATTTGGAGCCAGACACAGGTCCCTAGTTTGGGCTCCTCCAGGGGCCAACAATTGACCTCAGGCAACCACATGGCCCTCTGGGACCCTCAACTATAAAATGAGAGTCATACCCAGAGTTCCCCACTGTCTGATTGCTCATCACACTGACGTCGCTGCCTCTTTGTCTACTTGTTCATTAGACTGTGAGCCCTGAGCTGCAAGGAGCTCGGAACTAATAGGGGGGGCAGGAGCCGAACACAAGTCAGAAGGGAGAAAGGCAGGGACACCCCGAGAGACTGGACACACCTCCCTTTTGATAAAGGGTCTTCTTTAAAACTCACTCGTGTGCTCATGTTGACCTCCACATCGGGGGTGGGGAGTGACAGCTGATGGCGCTGCCCTTACAATAGGTCACCACAGGGGACTGGGCCTGTGGCCTGTGGAGCCCTCTGCCTGCAGCAGGGCAGTGGCCACACGACTGACCCCAGATGGTGGCTGCATCCATGTGCAAAGGCCTTCTCCCTGGGTGGCCTGCTTTCACATCTCCTCAACCTTGCAACCATGGAGACAGTTTTCTTGGATAAACATCAAGATGTTGGCATGGATCGAGGGATCCTGGGTCATTTTTTTCTCTTTTGCTTATTTGAATTTTCTTATTTTTATTTAAGTGAAATAGTGGCAAATCACTTTCAAAATCGAGAAAGTCAAGCTGGCCATTTTTATTTTTTATTTTATGTATTATTATTATTTTTTAAATATATTTTTATTGATGTCAGAGAAGAAGGGAGAGAAAGAGAGAGAAACATCAATGATGAGAGAGAATCATCGATCGGCTGCCTCCTGCTTGCACCCCACTGGGGATCGAGCCTGCAACCCAGGCATGTGCCCTGACTAGGAATCCAACCGTGACCTCCTGGTTCCTAGGTCGATGCTCAACCACTGAGCCACGCCGGCCGGGCAGGCTGGTCATTTCTAAAGTGAATCCTTTCTCATGCCACTGTGTCTGCTCACCCTCTCCTCTTTGACCTTCTCCATGACAACAAGGCGATGCTCCACTCCGCAGAGGATCGCAAGACGTGGACTTTTGAGGTTCAAAGGAGTGAGTGATGGGCCCAGTATCACAGAGCTCCACGTGGTGGCGCAGCCGAGTCAGACCTCTGTCTGTCAAACTTCAAAAGCCACGTGGTCTGTGTCCGCTCTGCCTCGTGTGCGGCAGCGGAGGAAGAATCTATTCCGCTGGATGGACACGGCCTTGGCCAAGCCTCCGCCCCCGGCTGGTCTCTTCCTTCTGCCGTCTCACCTGGAAGCCGAAAAATCCACATGGTCCCAGAAACCAGGAAAACGGCTTCCACTACCACCAATGTCACCACCACCACCGCTGCTGCTGCCAATAGCGGTAATGTGGCAGCTTCCCGCCCCGCAAGAGCCTACCCCGAGGCTAGCACTGTGCTGAGCTCGCAGTCGTTTGCTGCTCGGACCCATTTAATTCTCCTAAGGATGCGTGACTCAGGGGGCACTTTCATCCCATTTTATGGATGAGGAAGTTGAGGCTGAGAGACACAGCCCCAGGCCACTGTTGTGCTAGCGTTCAAAGGATGTGACCACCTGGGAAAAAATCAAGGAAGATGAGGAAGGTAGAAGGCTCTGGAAATGTGGTCCTAAATTTTTCCTTTTACAAAAAAAAAAAAAAAAAAAAAAAAAAAAAAGGAGAAAAAGATGGAGCCGCTGGCCCTGAGTTTCGCTCTCTGTCCCCCAGCAGATCACTCACGGCCAGAACGACAAAGTGACTTTTTTTCATTGAAAATGAGTCTTTGTTCCCACCCACCCCACCCTGCGTTTCCTCTTCTTTGTTTTTATTTCTGTTATGGCTACAGAAGGATCCGAAGATTTTTGCAGGCGGTGGCCAGATTTGGGCATCCGCCTGCTAACCTGCCCGCACCCCCACGGCACCGGCTGGCACTCTAGCAGGTGTAGCTTGCAGCTGGAGCCGATGTCGCCCCGCATGGGGCAGATGGAGGGGGGACAGCCATCACAGCGGGCTAGAGTTTTAAAAAATACACGATCAGACCTTCATCAAGGCCTGGTAGGGATCTGTGGCCTGGATGCCAAGCGTGCCAAGTTGGCAGGTGTCTGCTGTGCTGTACTGTGTGAGCAATAGCGGGATTCCTTTTCGGGATGGGGGGGTGGGGGGTGGTGAGGCGACTGGCATCCCCTGTCGCACAGGCGGACTATTCTGGATCTGAGTTGTTGGTGAAGTCACCATAATAGATTTTACTTGGGGAAGCGTTTCGGGCTGGGGTGAGGATGCAGGAAAGGGCACAGGAGCCTTAACAACAGGGGGGTGTGCAAGCTATGCATTCTCTCTGAGATGTGCCTTCTTCATCTTTAAAATGACCCACCTGCTTCCCCGCCTTTCCCAGCCCCCGAATGCAGGTGGGTCAGGTGACTGAGCCTCACTCCTGGCGGTGAGAGAAGGGACAGTCACTCCCTGCCTGAGGCAGGTGAGCAGGCGGGCTTGGAGCCTGTGTATGGCCAACGGCATGGTTACAGGGTGCAGGAAGGCTGCCTGCCCCACATCCGGCATTATTATCTGGTTTCGCCTGTAGGGGCCGCTAAAACAGGAAGTAATCATTGGCAGGGCTGTGGTGTGGATTATGGATAGGGCAGATGAAGCATCTGGCACATAGTAGGGGCTTCACCAAAATGGCAGCTCTACCCAGGAACTGGTTACCGCTATTGAAGACTCTGCCAGCAAAGGTCCTAAACTGGACCGGACATTGCGTGGTATGTAGCCCTGTGTAAAGTTGGGGGCGGTGGGGGGGGGGAGCGGGAAGTCAAGGAGGTTGCCATCTGGAAAAACAAGTAAGAATTACTGTCTCACTTGGCCGATGTGGCTCAGTGGTTGAGCATCGACCTATGAACCAGGAGGTCAGGGTTGGATTCCTCGTCAGGGCACATGCCCGGGTTGCGGGCTCGATCCCCAGTGTGGGGCGTGCAGAAGGCAGCCAATCAATGATTCTCTATCATCATTGATGTTTCTATCTCTCTCTCCTTCTCCCCTCCTCTCTGAAATCAATAACAAAATATTTTTTAAAAAATAATTAGTCTCTTTGAAATGCCCTAAAGGAGTTGTGACCAAGGGCACAGGAGCAGAGAGGAAAGGGAGTCTCTGAATGACCCTGGGGGACTCAAGCGGCAGTGAGAGCCGAGGGGACTCTAGAAGGATGAGGGGTCTCCAAGAGGGACAGGCAAGGGAGGGCATTGCCTCCAGGGAAGGGCCAGACCAAAGACAGGAGGCGCCGGAAGGAAAAGCATGTTGCCAAGGCCTTGATCGTAGCTTCTGACGTCCAGAAATGTGAAACGACGAATCCATGACCCGTGGTGTGTAAGCCACTGGTTTGTGGTCATTTATTACAACAGATATAAGAAACCCATACAGTGTTCATGAACCTCTTTCCTCCATGATTGCTCATGCTGCTCAATTTTGCTGATGACTCCATTTATTATTAGTATATTTTTCAACCCAAAATGCACTAAATACAAATGACGTAACAGTGATATTTTGACATTGCCATTTTAAGCAAAGACAAATTTCCCCACATAAGTTTCTAGACAGAGAATACCATATAGAACCCATGTGCATTGCCTGGCACATTGGGGAGCATAGCCCAAGCAGGAGGGGTGGAGAGGGAGCACCTTGGCAGCCCCCTCATTGGTTTTGCAACAGCACCGTCATTTCATCTTTATTTTGCCCTAAAGCAATTTTTCTGTGTTTTTATTGTAAGAGCAATTTTAGTGAAAGGTACCGAGAAGGGTGAAAACTTGGTAAAGAAAATGGTTCAAAATAAGAATATACCTTCCAACTTGACCTTGGGGTGGTGAACACACAGTACCATACACAGATGATGTGTTATAGAATTGCACACCTAAAACCTATATAATTTTATCAACCAATGTCACCCCAATAAATTCAATTTAAAATAAAAATTAAAAGAAGAATGTACCTTCCAAAGAAAATGGCTCTGTCCCGCCCCTTTTCCATCAACCGTCATCTACGGTCACCACCCAATACTGAGCCACTCCTTTAGCAAAAATACTGATGTTTTCTACACGGTATAAGCTGCATTTAATTACATTCATGTTGGTGTTGGTTCTATAAACTCGCTTTCATTATTCAGCTAAAGCAGCTGAGCAGAGGGTGGGCCCGTGCGGGCAGGCCCAGGAATGGGCATTGTTACAAGCTCCCCATAGAATCCCCTGTTGATAATTAACGTGTGAGCACCACCGCCTCAGGGAAGAACAGGACACTGTTTCCCCGGGTGGCATGGCCTCTATCACATTTCCCAGTGCTTCCCTTTTCCACTGCCAGTATTTGCAACAGAAAGATGAATTAATATTGTTTTCACAAACATAGTACAGTTTTACGAGGGCAAAACTGGGGATTTTTAAACACACACACACACACACACACACACATAACCCAATGAAAATGGCTTTTCTCGAGTATCCAGTCGCTCACTCCCTTCCAGTAAAGCAGTTGATTCCAAGCAGACTGGAAATGGGACGATTTCCGGAGATTCAGATTGAAGACATTCATCACAGGCACTCCTGAATGGCTGTCAAATTTTGGCAAACCTAGATCAGAGAGAGGAGACAGGAAATGCATAATTCATCCCCACACACAGGAAGCGGGTCTAGTCACTGCGCACGCACGTGCACACTAGCTTGAATGACAACCAGGAAAGCAGAGCTGCAGCGTCCAGCAACTTTTTTTTTTTCCTTAGCAGTTCTCTTTCTTCCCTCTGACAGACTCCAGAGGTTTTAGCCCCTCCTCCCAGCTAGTTAGTTAGTTAATGACCATTTCATATTGTTTTCTCACCCGACCCGTCTACAACTGAAATGCCCGTAGGGTACCAACTGGGGTTTTCCCATATTTCTACTCCCTAAAGTTTGTTCATTCATTCGTCAACTGCCTCCCTGCATGTCAGCGTAGAGAGAACAGAGGTTACCCATTTTGCTACCCTGAAGCCAGACGTTGGCAAAATGCAGACTGCTGATGCTAACACATCACTGGCAGACTGGCAGGTGGGGTACCTGTGATGACGTTCATTTGAAAGGGACACTCTGGCCAATGGTGGACAATATAGACTGTCCCCAAACTCACAGACTTTATTTTTTTATTTTATTTCTTTTCAGAGATTCAGAGAGAGAGAGAGAGAGAGAGAGAGAGAGGCATCGATTTGTTGTTCCACTTATGTATGCATTCATTGGTCGACTCTTGTATGTGCCCTAACCAGAGATTGAACCCACAACCTTGGCGGGTTCAATATTGGGACAATGATCCAACCAAGTGAGCTACTGGGCCAGGGCCCAAACTCAGACTTTACATTTAACAAAGAAGCCAGTTGAGTAAGAATTGCATTACGGTAAGACAAGGGCTTGACTTGAGAAGCATAAAGTGCTCAAGAATCGGCACTAATCTGACCTATGTAGAGCGCAGGGCAGGTGGGGGGGCTCCTCCATCAGTGTCTGCGGAACTGGGTTCCCAGCCTGCCCTCCACCCCCTCAGATCCTCGCCCTTGATTCTTGGAACAGACTAATGAGTCACTCTTGACTCCTGATGGTAATAACCACGTCTTTGGCTCATTAGTTTCAGGAGATGTTTCTGTGTGAGGGAGGGGGTTGCAAAATCTATACCGTACAGGCACAGAGCCCTTGGCTATAAAGTACTTTAAGAAATGATGCAGCAAAGACACTCAATGTGATGAATATTTATGACGTATGTACCATTTTCAAGGCGTTGAGATGGATACAAAAGTGAAGTCAGAAGTCCTTGTTTTCATAGGTCTTAAAGGCAAGAGCGTGTGTGGATGACGCATGGTGGGCAGGGAATTGGTAGAAATGGAGAGAGAGAGCGAGAGAACAAGTTAAAATGTGCACACAAGTAACCAAAGAAGGGCTCTTACTGCAGAAATGAGGCTGGGGATGAGGGTGTTTCAGAAGGAATCATGGTCCTTGTTCTGATCTAATTACTTTTAGGAGAGAACAAATTAGCTCAGAACAGCGGGAGGTGCCCTCAGAGCAGGAGGTGACCTGATGCCTGCAGGTCAGATACGGGCTCTTCCAGAAGCCTTCCTGCCCTTACTCCACCCTCCCCCCACCCCCCGCCCCTTCCTGGTCTGGAGGGACCTCCCTCCTGGGGTTCCCACAGCCTCTGTGCTAACTCTGTGCTTGCACTTCCCATATTCTGACTCCAATGTGCCCTTTCCACGTCCTTCTACCAGGGGTGGGGAACGTCTGGCCCGAGGGCCCTATGAGGCCTGTGAAATCATGTGGTCTGGCCCTGCCAAGGCATTGGGGGTGAGTTAATGAAAGGTTTGACCAAATACAGCAGGCTAGTTTTTAAGTTGATAATTTTGTATGGCCCCCGAATGATGTTCTAAATATCCACATGGCCCTGGGCAGGCAAAGGGTTCCCACCCCTGCCTTAGACTCTCATTCTTGAGGCCCTGCACGCAACCCTGGCACCTCGCAACAGTGTGTGACCCTTAATGAGACCATAAATGTCTGCTGAGCAGGGCTGGGCGCCCAGCACCGCACAGAGCATGTAAGTCCTGAAGACAGACTAGGAGGCTCCGTGATGCCACGCTGGGGTCTTACAAACATCTTTCCACGAAGCTCGCAGTCAGTGTGCAGAGTGACCTGGAGAGGCTGCTGGAGGTGGAGACCTCCCCCCAGACATCGGAGTCGGGAGGCCCCGCATCAGGTTGCATGCATCTGCTCTTCAAACCAGCCCCCCCCCCCCGACTCTCGAGAGGGGGTCAGTTAACTGTACACGTTCCTCTTAAAACCCACAGAGAAGGGGTGTATGCAGGTGGCACCACCTGACAAGCAGGAATGCCTTCCCTTCTGAAAGCTGGGTTACGCAATGACTCCTCTGTGGGACTCTTCGGTTCAGGCATTGTCTGTCGGCCAGGCCAGTCCTGACTCATGACCGACCTCCCAGCTCACCAGCAGACCCCTGGCTAATGCCCCATGAGGTGGAGAGCGACCACAGCCAGGGGAGGGGGGAGGGCACCTTAGAAGAGCTTTAAACAAATGCCATTCATTTACCAGGCTGAGGAGCAAGGACTTCTCATATAACCTGAGGACCCAGTTTCCTAACTATCAGATTAGACAAAACTTAGCCGTATGAGCGCCTGCACCCGCAAACCTGGGATGCCAGGAGACTCAGGGGAAGCATCGCTTAAAGTGCCAGGAAATTGATATCGGCTGGAGCTCTCAACAAAATAAATCTCTCTCAGCCTCGCTGTGATCACAGAATTAACCACGATCCCGTGAACAGGGCCACGCAGCGTGGAGAGCAAAGGCCAGTGGGCGCATTTGAATGCAGGCCTCAGGCTGCAGCCGGGGAGTTGGCTCCACTCAGGCTGCATGCTGAAGGGAAGGTAATTAACACATCCATCTTCAAGGGATGGGGCTTCGCAGGCTGTTTGACATTCTGCGAGCCTCCCCACCCCCCACCCCCCTTGCCCCAGCCACCCTCTGAATATGCTGAGCCTGCAGCCTGCAGCCAGCAGCCAGGGCGATGGTCCCGTGGCAGGGACATCAGCGTTGGTCACCTTTGGTCACCAGGATCATTTCCCGGGCAGGTGCCAGTTATTGGGGAAACGCTAAGAAAAAAGGCTTCCTCATAGGATGTATTTTTAAAGTGCAGGGCTATGGGTCTACTAAAGCCCTTTAGAACTATTTAAAAATTAAAGTTCATGTCATGTCCTAAGCCCTGCTGCCTTAAACATTAACTATCTATTGATGTAAGGCTTTAGAGACAGGATAAGACTGTCAGATGTTAGTGGCAAGAGAAAGCCTTCGTCGGGACGGGCGGCCAGGGCCTTTCCCGGACGGTCCTCGCCGTCATCACGCAGGCCAGAGGGATCTGGGACTGCGGCTCACGGTCACCTTTGCGCAGACGAGGGTAACGAGGCAACACTCACCGAGCGCAGGGGCCGGTGTTGAAGTAGCTGGCAAGGCTGAGCAGCAGGGACTTGACAACATCTTGGTGAGAGAGAGAAAATACATCAGAATGACCGACATTGGAAGGGAGCCCAGGAATCAGAGCGGCCACTGGGACACGATGACTTACAGGCAATCGTGATGGTCAAGGAGCACGTGAAGACACCGGCTACCAGTCCTCCCAGCAGCCACCTGCACCGACAGAGGGCTGGGTCAGCAGAATAACCGTGCGTTGCCGACACGTGAGAGGTCCTTTCAGACCGACTATAGATGTACGGGGTCAACATTTACTATGAAACTACAGAGTCCCGGCCACTGTGGCCCAGTTGGTTGGGCATCGTCTCATGCACCAAAAGGACTCTAGTTCGAATCCTGCTTAGGGTACATGCCCAGGTTGCAGGCTCGATCCCCAGTAGGGGGCGTGCAGGAGGCAGCCAACCAAAGATTCTCTCTCTCTGTCTCTCTCTCTCTCTCCCTCTCTCTCTCTCTCTCCCTCTCCTTCTTCCACTCTTTCTAAAATCAATAAAAACATTTTTAAAAAACTACAGTAATAGAGATAGTGTTGTATTGACAAAGGATAGAAATATGATCAATGGAAGAGGAGAGACAGCTCAGAATAAGATGCATACAGAGAGAGTTGAATGATTTTGAGCAGAGTTGCAAAAGCAACCATTGGTATTGAAACAATTGTATATCCACGTGCAAAGAATGAGCCTGCACATGTACATCACGCCTGGACTCAAAATGAGTCAGAGACTGAGAGGGAAACCACAGAAGCCTGAAACTTCTAGAAGAAAAACAAAGGAGAAAGTCGAAGTGCCCCTGCTTCCCAACCCCACCCCAAAAGTCTGCGAAACATCTGGGGTTTTGCCAGTCTGCCGAACGACTGTGGACTGTGGCACGGGGGGGGGGGGGTGTCTTTTTAAAGAATAATGTCTTCATTGTTTTTGTGTTCAAACTATGAATTATTGAAAGAGATTACAAATATGTACAAAGGAGAAAGGAAAATATTAAAAACTCAACCACCTGAAGCAAGTATCTAAATGCAGCTCACACTCAAGGGATGCGGAGTTAAGCTCCCCATATATATATATATATATATATATATATATATATATAGCTCCCCATATATATATATATTGTTTTTGTTTTTGTTTTTTTGTTAATCCTCACCTGAGGGTATTCTACCATTGATTTTTGGGGAGAGGGAAAGACAGAAACATCGATGTGAGAGAAACACACCGATTGGTTGCCGCCTGTAAGCCCTGGACCAGGGCCCGGGCCAGGGAGAAGCCTGCAACCAAGGTATGTGCCCTTGACTGGAATCGAACCGGGGACCCTTTGGTCTGTAGGCCGACGCTCTATCCCCTGAGCCACACCGGCGAGGGCTAAGCTCCCCTCTTAAGTGGGAAGCATGTCTATAGAAATTAAGTTAAGAGGAATGTTCCGTTAACAGTCCTGTGACATAAAAGGAAAGGGCTCCAGGACCAAGCAGGTTTAGGAAACGCCAAGGTAAATAAAGCCGAACGCGTCTCTCTCTGCCTTACTCCACCATGGCCTGCGCATGCTACGGCACATGATCCTCCCATGTGACACAGGAGGCAGGAGCTGGCAAGTTTATTTTTAGCCACAGGACCTCCCCCCCATTTTTGTCCCTTGGTTCCATTGTGATCTAAAAATACTTCTCAAACCTCGTAATTATCTGGGAAGCTCATTTCCAAACATTGATTCTCATTAGATCTAAATCAGTATCTGAGGGGATGGGATCCAGGATGCTGGATTTAAAAACACAACTCCCCTGCCCTGGCCGGTTTGGCTCAGTGACTAGAGCGTCAGCCTGCAGACTGAAGGGTCCCAGGTTTGATTCCGGTCAAAGGCATGTGCCTTGGTTGCGGGCACATCCCCTGTGGGGAGTGTGCAGGAGGCAGCTGATCCATGTTTCTCTCTCATCGATGTTTCTGACTCTCTATTCCTCTCCCTTCTTCTCTGTAAAAAAAAATCAATAAAATATATTTAAAAACAAAAACAAAAGGAAGAAAAACACAACCCCCGTACGTGACATGAGGCACTTGACCCTCAAGAGGGGAGAGCAAGTAGCACTTGCGAGGACCCCAGGACTGTACCATTCCTCCCTCTTTCACTGACTCAGCAAATACTGATGAGCCCCTGGAGCTGGGGATGCAGTAGTGAAGGAGACATGCCATGTCTCAGCTCTCGCAGAGTTCCCATTCTTATAGGGAGAAATAAGTCATTAACACTTATACACATGAACATTTAATAAGTGCTCTAAAGAAAAGTAAAGTGAGGTCTGTGTGATGGAGAGTGGTCAGGGGAGGGCTCCCTGACGATGTGACGTAGGAACAGATTCCGGAAAGATATACATTATGAGGCTTTGGGGAAAAGACTGTACTAGGCAACAGAGCAAACAGCAAGTGCAAAGGCACTGGGGCACAAGTGGGCTCAGCACAGAAGGGATGTGATCACTGGCCTGGAGACTCGGGCGAGAGAAGGACAGGAAGGACATGCTTGACAGCGGGTAGAACAGAAACCTGCCTTTAATCGGGCGAGGGCATTATGTGCTCTGAGATGCTGCGTAGGCATCCCTGGAACAGAGCCTTTATGTTAGGACATAAAAATACAACGGGAACGGTGGAGTCCCAGCAGGATTCCCAGCCCCCTAGTGGGAACTTTAAGTGCCCTTGAACTCCAGGCAGAGGTGCTTGGTCTGAATTTGTAACCAAGAGTCACAGAGGATTTAAACAAAGGATGATACATAGTAACCTCCAATTTCTAGCAAGATACTTGGCTTTTGTATGCTTTGGGAGATGATGAGAGGAGGGAGCATTTATCAGGGAGAGACAAAGATAACATCCTGACCACAGAGCTACCTGGAAATGCTTTGTGGAATAAAGCAAGTGAGTCATCCATCAATTACAGCTTCATTCATTATGAATCACCACCGCATGAAGCTAGAATCGGAATTACCTTGCGCATGCAGACATGGCCAAGCATGCAGCAAGCAGAACGGTCTGAAAGGAGATCTCTTCCAACAAACTGGTTTCTAACAGGAAAAATAGAAATAAATGAAGTAGAAGTCATTGCTGGTTAAACAATCTCGGAACAGCAGAATCATAGTAAAACTTCTCTCCTACATACCAACCAGGAAGAAAGTTTTCAGATGTGTCATCCCAAACAACTTGTCAGAAGTAACAAGATAAAATCATCAAACGCTAGAAAAATGCTGCCAATCATTTTTTCCCTATCATTAAAAAGAAATGATTATGCTCCATAAAGAATTTGGGGCCCGCCTTTTACGTCGATGTCAGGGGAAGGGTTTGTAGACTGTACGCTGACGTCCAAAACCGAGCTCTGATGCTGCCGACATGTGGGGAGTGCCGTGTAACTCCCAGAGCTCTCGAGTACCGGTTCGTTCAATCAACACAACAGACCTAGGAGGTAGGAACCATTACCCTAAGTTCTGAAAACGAGGAGACCAAGACGAGAGGAATGATGAAATGTGTCCACGGTCACACAGCGGTGAGGGGCCGGAGCCAAGACTGAAAAGCCCCATCCGGCCAGCACACAATGTTTTGCCTGAGATGGGGAAGGGAAAGAGAATTTGCAACTTTGCCCACGGGGCGTCTCTAAAGGGCAAAAAAGGAGCGTTTATTGTGAGCCGCCTGGCCTTGCAAAACCCTTTGCTATCAACAGCATATTTGTGGGAAAGACGGCAGATTCTCCAGCCGTGATCAACATGGGTTGAATCAACCAGAACTCTGAGTAGCATTTTAATGACCTAAAAGGAACCAGAGCCGTTTGAGGACCCCCATGGGAAGAGGTACAGGAGAGTACGAACAGGCCCCAGTCTATTTGCCAAGTGCTTCAAAGCCCCATGTTCGGGGTCGTTAGCACACAGGACACAGGATGCTCAGTGCTTCCCCCCAATGCTGTTCGTCACTATCAGCTGGGACTCTGAGGATCTCCGTTGACAGAGGAAAAGGTCGAGATTTAGAGGCCAGGTGGGCTGTCCCTGAGGCCCAGCTGACAGGTGGGGAGCCGGGCGTTGAACCTTGGGAACCGATGCCCGAGGCTCCACGTGGCACCGCGTGGAAACGTGACTAATACGATGTTAGCAAACTACAGACTAAGGGGTGTGCTTGCTGAGTTTATCCCAGACTGGCTCCCAACAGGAAACCCTAGTAGCTTTCCATCTTTGGACTTTTCCTTGCCAGGGACATAGCGTGAAAGGACACTTTGTCCCCCCTTTTCTTTTTTCCTCATATGGAATGTGTCAAACACAAAGCAAAGTATGAAGATAGAATAACAGATACCTGTGTATGCACTACCCAGATTTAATACAGTTTAACATTTTGCCATATGTCTTCAGGGTTTTTTAAAAACAAACAAGCCCGGCCGGCGTGGCTCAGTGGTTAAGCGTGGACCTATGAACCAGGAGGTCACGGTTCGCTTCCTGATAGGGGCACATGCCGGGGTCGCGGGCTCGATCCCCAGTGTGGGGTGGGCAGGAGGCAGCTGATCCATGATTCTCTCTCATCACTGATGTTTCTCTCTCTCTCCCTCTCCCTTCCTCTCTTAAATCAATAAAAACATATTTTAAAAAACAACAAACAACCAAACAAACCAAACTACCGCCGATCCAGTCCCTCCGATGCCTCTAAGGCAGAGGTTCTCAACCTGTGGGTCGCGACCCCTTTGGCGGTCGAACGACCCTTTCACAGGGGTCGCCTAAGACCATCCTGCATATCAGATATTTACATTACGATTCGTCACGGTAGCAACATTACAGTGATGAAGTAGCAACGAAAATAATTTTATGGTTGGGTCACAACATGAGGAACTGTATTTAAAGGGCCAGAAGGTTGAGAACCACTGCTCTAAGGTGACACCCGGAGGCAGTCACCCCCTCTGTGAATGCGTCCCCCGGACCGGCAGCCCCCCAGGTCCTCCCCCGTCAGGCAGGGTGATGCCCCCCCTCAGTGTGTGGTAGTCACCTATCTCTACGTCGCTCGAGGGCCCTGCGAGGAAGGATTATTGGGGTGTGGCAAAGATTTTTAAAAAACTCACTTGAATGATCCAAAATATCCCCTTGGAGATGCTCCGCAGCCATCCCCCGGGGCTGCAGGGCCCCTCGGAGGGAGTCTTCTCCGGGAGTCTCAGGCGTGACGTGGCCCGGGGAGGAGGCTGCCATGGACTCTGCCTCCAGCCGCTCTGACGCCCAGTCATCAGTCAGCACACAGTCAAAATCACCGCCTGGAAGGGCAGAGGCTCCGTAAGCGTGTGTGCACACGTGTGTGCCCGCGTGTGTGCGTGTTCAGCGACTCTCAATGCACTGTAGCTAGTGATCGTGACACGAGTGACGCCACTGGAGTAGGACGGGACATGGACCCCTAGAGGAGATGGCACTTCCCGCTGCCCTCCTCCTTGAACGCTGAGAGGAGGGTCTTCAGCACAGAGACCTGTGAGGGCCGGGGCATGACGGTCGGGTGACCGGTGCCAGGGCCAGTGTGGTGAGAACAGGGCCCACGTGACCCAGGGGAGCCCGGGGAGCATGGAGCTGGGAACCCAGACTGGAGGCGGGTCACAGGGTTGGACTCCGGCTGAGGAGTCTGGAATGTACGCCACAGGCACCGAAGCGATGGTTTGTCTGAGTGAGGGTGGTACCCTAGGCAGGCCTCAGTGCATTCTTTTGGTAAATAACGTGGTTGTAATATGTGATACACAGCCAGGGGGCGCTGAAAGAAATCATGAACCATCAGAAAGGATTCTCGGCTTTGACTGCTGTCCCGGGGTGTCTGCAGGGCCAGTGACCAAGGAGATAACAGCGGAGGGAAAGACAAGGGCCGTCCCCAGAGAAGACCCCGGGGATCTGCTGGTATAGGGCACGGTGCCTATAGTCAACAACACGGTGCTTTATGCTCCGCAGAACTTGTCAGCAGGGTAGATCTGATGTTGATGCTCTTACCACAAAAATCAAAGAAACCAAAACAAACCTCAAGGGGGCCTCAAGGAAACTCCTCGATGTGTTGGATGTCACCTGGATGATGGGGACGGTGCCATGGGTGTTTGCATATGTCTGGACTCACTGAATTAGATACATTAAACATGTACAGTCCTTCATATACCCATCATATGCCAACAAAGCTGTTTAATGAAGAGAAGACGCTAAGTGGTCAAGTTAAGGCGGACAGGAGAAGGAACTGGGAACTCTCATGGCTGATGATACAGTCATGAGTGGCACCTAATGAAGATCGGGAAAGATGTGGGTGAGGCTGCCACGGCTGTGAAAACTATCCTGCGCTAGTGCCCAAGGCTGCCCTCTGAGCTCGTACCACTGCCACTGAGAGCTGGACGAAATAGAAAACTGTATCCTACGTGGAACTCTGGAAATCCTACACGGGATTTTTAAAAGAAAAGATGACATTAAGGAGGAAAGCCACACAAAAAATCTTAGCATTAAAAAAATGGTCAAGGATTTTTCATTTCTGAAAACACATGTTTTGCCCCCAACTGACATTTAATTTTTCCTCGGCCCTTCGTAGTAAATGAAAGGATCGTATTGCAGAAACGTTTAGGCGATTAGCTCTCTCGTGTTAGATTTGAAGATATTCGGCTGGTCTAGCATCATTTACTTATGTTTAGAAGGCTGGACCTGTTTCTTCCCAGCACATGTCCATACCCTCCGCCTGTACAGTGGGCATTGCTGCCGGCTACAGAAGGAAGCACAAAGCCACACACAGAAGTTCCCAGCGAGGATGAGCTCCTGAGAAAACCGCAGACCTCCAGCTGGGCTGCCTGCCTCAGGCCAACTTGCCTTTCTGTCTCAGGACTGGCAGACATAGAGCGGGAAGTCCCGCCCAGTCCTCCCTTTGTGAGTCCTGGACCCATTTTCAGTGTGACTCAAGGGCCTCCTCCGGGAATGCATCCCCCATCGCAGTCCTGGGGTCCAGGGAGCTGCCTGAAGAATGAATTGCAACTAATGAGGGGAGGGATCTCGACACAGCTGTGAAAGGGGTGAACTGAGGATCAACAAAATAGGCAACGACAAAAAAAATAAATAAATTCTTTTAGCCTGAAAAATGAAGCAAGAGAAAATGAGGGGAAGTGAGTTTTGATTGCATCCATTGCCCAGAGAGAAAACAGCAAAACAACTTAATTTTGAATTCTTGAGTCTTTGTAACAAGGCTACGTTTCCAGAGAAAAAGAAATTGCTGATCAGAGTCACGGGGCCTGGGGAGCGCTGATCACAGTTGACAGCTGAGCTGAGCGATCTCCAAGCCCTGTGTGCACCCCGGCTGACGAATCACCGATTTCGGAGGGGGCGGTTTGATTCGCTATATTTAGAAGATATTTGGAAACCTTGAGAATTTTTAACAAGGTACCTCAAGCATGTGCAGGGCTGCTGTGGTCCAATTGCTTTAAAATTGTTTGGACACATTTTGAAGAGGCAGCCACGGGAAAACTAGATGTGAATTCCCAAATCTGGGAAGCACTGCCTTCAGAACAGCGATTCCCAAACTCTGGTCCTCCAAGCACCAGACTCCTGAGCTTTGCCATATCCCGGAGCCTGCCTACCCCTAGACATTTAATATTTTCCTCTCATTGTCCCGATAAATACCTCTTGTTTCCTTCCCACTAATAAAAGTAATTATAACTACAAATTCCTGAGCATCCAGCATTGAACGATGCCTGAAATTTATTGTTCCTTTTAATATTAAAATATGCTTTGAGTTTCCATTACTATGTTTTATATGCATATGTGTACATATTATATGTAGAATATATTATATAATGTGAATAATATTATATAATGTATGGTACATCAAATATATACATACAGCATATATTTCAATAGGACTATGTCATATATTAGTATCATATACTGATATATATGATAATATATAAATATATTATTATCACACTATGCATACATATCTTGTTTAAAAATGAGGAAACTGAGATTTTGGCCAAGTTAAGTAACTATCACCATGTGCCCAAACGAGGACCTGAACTCCGACTCCAGCATTCTTCCTCCACCCACAGCCCGTGCAGAAAGGACACCTTGGAGATGCGCATGTATTTTCCAGGTTTTATCAGCTTGATAATTTAGGCATGTAAATTCTGGGCTATCTTGCAGGACGTGGACACATATGTATTTGGATCATATGAGTAGTGGGGAGAGAGCTGTAGGTGAATTTTTAAAATGTGGCCCATCCTCTCTGTCCAAATGACTGTGGTCCCCGGATCTGACATTGGGCCAGGACCAGGCGTTGCGGCGCCTACTCGGAACTGTCCCACTGGGGAAAGGAGGGGCAGACTCACCACTGTCACTGCAAGGCTGCGCGTCCGGGCTGCTGGCTCCCTCCAGCCAGCTGGCCTGGCCCGGGGACGAGTCAGCATCAGCGAAGATGCTTCCCCGCAGCCAGGATCTAGGGGTGCCGAGGCGGAGGAGAGAAGGGAAAGAGCGGCGGATCCTCTTTTTCTTCCTAAATATTCTGGAGAGAAAGGAAAGCAGCACGGTGGGTAATGAAGAGCGGTCACCCCCAGGTTCCAGACAGAGGATTTAGTGGGAGTGCGCTGGGGAACAGAGCCCCTCTCTCCCATTCAGGTCCCCGAAGCTCGCTCATTGTACTCGTTCCCTTGACTCGTTCCACAGAAGTTCCTTACGTTTCCGGGTGTGCCAGGTGCTGGGATCAAAGTGAAGGATGCCAAGATAAAAGACAGAACCTTGGGCCCTAGCAGGTTTGGCTCAGTGGACAGAGCGTTGGTTTGCGGACTAAAGGGTCCCAGGTTTGATTCTGGTCAAGCGCATGTACCTCAGTTGCTGGTTCCTCCCCAGCCCGGGCCCTGGTCGGGTCTCGTGCAGGAGGCAACCAATCAATGTGTTTCTCTCACATCAATGTTTCTCTCTCTGTCTTTCCCTCTCTCTCCCACTCTCCTTAAAAATCAATGGAAAAGTATCCTCGGGTGAGGATTAAAAAATAAAAAATAAAAGACAAAACCTTGGGTACCAGCAGTATACAGGCTAGTATGGGGGAAAGACAAGAACAGTGACGCTGTAGCTAAGGCTTTCACGGAGCTCATTCTGCGCCAGGCGTCTTTCCTAGTGGCTTACGTGTAGTAACTCACGCCATCCTCAGAATGGCCCCGCGAGGTAGGCACCATGGTTACCCCATTTTTCAAATCAAGAAAACGAAGCACAAAGTGGTTGAGTAACTTGTCTGAGGTCATAGCTGAGAGGCAGACCCAGGCAGCCTGGCTCCGCCGTCTCTGCTCTGTGACTGTGCTGTGGAGGGGAGGTTGCTCTGACAGATGAACCAGGGCCGCTGGCCGAGGGCAGCAGATGTCGGAGCAGAGGGGGGCCACAGCGCATCGGGAGTCCAGGGAGGTTTGTGAGGGAGGAGAGCTCTGAGCTGATCAGGATGGTCTGGCCGGTTCAGGTCCTTCATACTGGATCCTGCTAGGAAAGGAGGCTAGGAAAGGAGGCTAGGAAGGTAAGAAGGCTGGTCATGAAGAACCTGGGATGTTATGTGCAGGAGTTGGAATTGGATGTTCGAGCAAAGGGAGGTCGCTGAAGTGTGTCAAGGGGGAGGGGTGACGTGACTGTCTGTCTTTCTGAAAGACTTTGGCTACTCACACATGCACAGTCCCAACAATCCGTCCTCTACCTTATAACCAGTGTTATCCTGCTATGGAGAAATCGGACAGTCTGTCCATGGTTCCTCCTTATCTGCTTAGCCTGGAACGCGACCCCCTCCACGCAGCCCCTGCTTCTGCGCCCCGTCTTCTCTCTTGCAGACCAGCCCTTCTGACCCTGAGCTGTATTTCCACCAAACTACTTGCATTGCCCACTTTGCATCGGGGTCTCTCAGAACTCTCTTCGGAAGTCTCCTTTCCCGCTGCTATTTTAATGGACGTCTGCATCTCTCAAGACTCTCATCACCGTCTCTAGGAAGGTTGTTGTAGCCTGTCCCCCCAGGTCAAATCGGCCTTCTCCCTGTTCCCCTCATCCCTCCCCATTCAGACTTCTACCCCAGCGCCTGCATCAGATCACTGCTTCGGTTATTTACCTGTCTGCTCTACCTGCCCCTCGTGAGCCTTTGTGCTTCCACAGTCTGGAGCAGGAATGGGCTCCTTATAAGTGAACTCTGAATGGGCGAATGAATGAATGAATGAATGATGGCTGGATGGGACTTTTGATTTTTCCATGTAATATTTCCTACTTACCTAACTGAGTTCTCCCTGTACATCACACTGGTCTGGGATGGGCTCAGCGTGATGTTGCCATCTCTGTCGCAGAGGAAACTGTCCTCTGTCCAAATGTAGTAGCCGTTGGTGAGGAGCCTGGGACTCCGGCGACAGGGAAGGTAGGAGCCTGTCAGGGGATCTAGGGAGCAGCAGTCAAAGGAACCGTCACCAGCCAGGAAATCACAGGCAAAGCTGAAGAGGGAAGAAGGACACATACAATGGAAGATTACTTGGCCACAAAAAGGAATGAAGTCTTACCATTTACGACAGCATGGATGGACCTGGAAAGTATTACGCTAAGTGAAACAAGTCGGTCCGAAAAAGACAAATATGTACCATGATTTCACTTCTATGTGGAATCTAAAGAATAAAATAAATGAACAAGGCAAGTAAGTCTTAAACCTTCCTGTTTTTAAACCAGGAACACAACAAAATAGTGCCTCCAGGAGGAGAATTTGATTGATTTTTCTTGTAAAGAGCCCCATGGAATACCTTGGGAAAATGCACGTGGGAGACAGCTCTCCAGCAGATTCTCTCTCGGACCCGGAGAAACCTGCATAAGCCAAGGAGAGAGAAGTAGACGTTCATCACCCTCACCAGCACCCTCACCAGCACCCACGCTGCAAACAGTGGCAGCGCAAATCGGAAGATGCCAATAGCTGACGTCCCGGCCCCTATGGAGACTCCAGCTGGGGCAGCCATCCAGCGAATGGGCTCTAACACAACCTGTCACCAGGTCCCCACGGGAAGCCAGAATAGTGTGGGGGCTTCTGTCTCCTGTGCCTTCTCCTGCTCAACACCCCTTTAGAGGCCCCTGGGGGCAGGATGAGGCAATAATACGTCATCAGCATCCAACTGACCCATGAAAAGCAGGGAGACAGCATCTTGTGTAGAGCTGGAGAAAACCGAAACCAATTGCCCCATGCGCTGGCTGTTTTAGCCGACTCAGTATTTCTGAGGGATCGATCGTCTGCCCGGGAGTTCTCTCAACAGCGCACTTTAAGGCACTTGCATTGTACAATAATGAGCAAAGGCATTCGTGGAGGGAAAACAATAACGTTTGGTTTCATATAAAAGATCTTCTAATGTAGGAAGTATTCTTAATTAAGAAGCAAAGGCATCCATCCATTCGTTCCAGGTTAAGCAAAAGCGTGGCCATGGATTTCCATCTGGGAACGTTGTAGTTCATTGATATTCTAAACTCAGACTTTTGTATCATACAGAAATGCCGTGAGTACTTCTACTTGACAGGCTCAGCGAAACTTGATCCCATTACTGACCATCAATAGCTAAGCAGCGAGAGGAATTGAGATGTTCGGCTGGGCTGGCTGAGTTATGAAAGGAAGATGCAGTACACATACACTGGCAATATGACTCCCCCACAAGTAAAGACAAAATATTGCCATTTGTGACAACATGGATGGACCTTGAGAGCATTGTGTTAAGCGAAATAAGTCAGTCAGAAAAAGCGAAGAATCATATGATTTCACTCATATGTGGGATATATTAAAACTGAACTCATGGGCACAGACAACAGCGTGGTGGAAGCCAGAGGGAAGCGGGTGGGGAGATGGGGCGTGGAGGGGGACTAAGATATGGTGACGGAAGAAGGTTTGATTGGGGGGGGCACACAGTGCCATATACAGATCATGCATCACAGAAATCTACACTTGAAACCTACATGATCCTATTAACCAACATCACCTCAATAAAGTTAATAAAATTAAAAAGAGAAAAAATAGTAGGTGTGGGAGGGAGGGCTGGAAGCAGGGTTTGGGGAGAAAAAAACAAGAGGAAGGAAGAAACTCGAAACCACTACCGTTTTAAGAAGTTACGCCCTTGTTTTCTGCAAGTAGCTATCAAAATCATTCAGTGTGTTGTGTGTGTGTGTTTTTTAAATAGACAAACAGTTTTGCATCTTAATAGTAGCGGATAAACAATCTCCTTTCACATTTATGCACAGGCATCTAAAAAAAACTGGTGACTTTTTTTTTCTACTAAAAGGAAAAAAATATCACATTTCCCTCAAGGAAAGAGATGAAGTCAAAATCATTGCCAACGTGAACACTGGCATTTCAGAAGCACAGGCTCCTGACAGATGGTTAATGGTACGAGTATCAGCAAAATCAAAGCAAGGAAATGGCTCAAAGAAGTCTAATCATTCAGAAGATAATTGCGTGTCGCAATTCGCCCACATTGACTTGCCACCGGTGTTGACATCAGTCGAGATATTCGGTACATCTTGGGAAGGCTGCTTGTTCAAACTTCACAGATTTCCTGCAAGAGACATTAAAAAAAAAGGTGGACTATATGTTAAAAATAGAAAAGTGATGCCCAAACAGATGGCATCTACTAATTGCACTGGTCGGATGTGTATACTGAAATAAGGCAGAGATATTGGGTGGGAGGCAGGGGACCGGATTGAAGGACCCCTGGGGTTGTCCCTGCTCTACATTCTCCATTGTCTTGCTCAGCGCATCTAAATGATGTCTTCCTGTAAATAAGACCAACATTGTCTTGGGGAAAGCTAGACTTGCAAAGGTTGACTTGTCAGCAAAATAAAAATAATAAAAATGAGTTATTTGATTAAGAACATGGGAGGACATCTATAATAGTATCAACAATAATTTTCTAAAAAAAAATCTGAACAACAACAAAAAAGATTGGTCCTAGAGCTCTCTAAATAAACTCATTTATATTGTCATCATCCAAAACACATCCATCTCATTATCAAGTTTCAAGTAATGCATGGAATTGGTGTCTGCCCCTCATCCGACACCTTGGACCACTGACAGGTAGTCACAGAGCGGGCCAGTGGTCTTTCGTACTTGCTATCAGCCTGGACATTCCTGAGCATCGTAAGCAGAATTGCACTAAAAATAGTCCAGCACTGGGCAGATTTCAACACTCAGTTCCCGAGGACATACTATGTACATTCGCAATTACAACTCAAACACATCCCCAAGTGCGCACATCATGTCAACTATGACCATTTACCAACTCACCACATAGATCTACCTTCTGTTAACTATGAAGCTGTGTCGGTATCACTGTCCTAACAGCTTTCTAATGCAGGTCTGAATGCTTTTCTGCATCACCACCTCCATCCACATTGAAAAAATGTGATAACTTAGCAATGCGTTGTTTTTGTAGCTGTGACACACAGCATTGACCCAGGATAATTCTGTAGCTCTGGGTGGATTCTTCCAGTAAATTATATGCAAAACCTGTTGGAAAACATTGACCGTGGCTTATCCAGACCTTCAGATAAATCAGGAGGACTGCCTGGCACGCCTTGCATGATTTTGAAATCAAAGCACACATTCAGAGAGCTCACTTGCTTGGAATGTAGAATAATTGTGTCTCCCGGTAGTGGAATAGCATGCCCCTGGTCCTTTGACTTTTGATCACTATCACATGACTATGCCCAGCCCCAATGACCCTGTATTAGCTTCCCCAAGCACTCAGTTCAATTCGGAGCTGGCGTGTCCTGCAGCCGAAAGCAAGGTCCCGTAGCCGCACCCTGCGAGTACCCATGGCAGCAACAGCAGCACGGGAACAGTTAAGTGAGTGTTAGTAACTGGGAAGAAGACGCCAGTAAACAGCTCTCAAACTTTTCAAGAAACAGATCCTGTCTACCAGTTCCCTCAAAGCGACAGATCTGTTTGGGAAAGTAATTTGCCCACACACATCCTTTCCAAAGGGAGCTCCCTGTCTTTCTTTCCAATTGACAGATAATAAAATAGTTACTGAAAGACGGAGCCTCCTGAGCAAGACGGTCAGCGGAGAAATCCAGGACGTAGCCGCTGTTCAGCTGCAAGGGACGAACGCCGGGCTGTCAACAGGTGCAGAGGTCGCCTGGTGAGGGGAAACCCCACCTTCCCCTCCTTCTCGGCGATGCCTGCACGGTGCAGGCATTTGCAGGATTTCGTCCTCAGCCGCCTCTGGTTCCTTTGGCTGTTTCCCAGAACAGAAGAGCATGTAGTTCTTGGGAAAGTCTGCCTTCAAACCGTTCTTGTTTTCGTTCAAAAGCAGCCTGCGAAACCAGGGGCTGAGCGGCAGGATGAGGTCACACTTCCTGTCGGGCTGAGTGACAGTCTCGCTGGGGAGCATGGTGGAGACTCAAGATTGTCTCCTGGGGCTGCCATGGGGGATGTGGATACATCAGGTCGCCAGGGAGACGCTTTTCTGAGCTCACTGGGCACCCCCAGCTGCATGAGCATAAGAAACACTCAGACAAGCCACACTTCCTGCGGCTCATCTTCTGGCTGTTTTCAGTATGAATCGTTGTATACCAGTGCTTTGTTCCAATCAATACAATTTATTGGTGATAACGCACTGATGCTATGACGTTCAGAATGCCATTGACTACCAGGAGCTTGATCTGGCAGCACTGGGAATAGGTTAATCCAGCAAACGCGGGGCTTTACAGGAAACTATCTACGGGTGGCAGTTTGCATCCTATATTTCAGTTTGCATTCTGTATTTATATATTTTTTAAAATATATTTTATTGATATTTTACAGAGAGGAAGGGAGAGGGATAGTCATAAACATCAATGAGAGAGAAACATCGATCAGCCGCCTCCTGCACACCCCCCACTGGGGATGTGCCCACAACCAAGGCACATGCCCTTGACTGGAATCGAACCTGGGACCCTTGAGTCCGCAGGCCGACGCTCTATCCACTGAGCCAAATGGGTCAGGGCTGTATTTATATTTTAGTAGCGCTCAAAGAACTGGATCTTGGTGGTCCCTGCATATCTCTGCTGTTGCAAGTGATCCAAGAAAAATACACATTCCAGCAACACTGAGGCGCATGGGGTCATGGGAACAGCGTGGATTTGGGAGCTACACAGACTGCGATGCAAACTCTGTCCTCCATAGATTTGTGACTTAACCTGTTGGAGCTGCAGTTTTCTCAATGATACATGGGATGATGTATATTTCAAAGGATGGCTTGGAGAATGAAATGAGAGAAAAGGAATGAGAAAGAAGTGAGTCCTCAGCTCAGATAGGCAGGATGGGTTCCTTATTCGTTTCCTGTAAACCAACTTTGGAGGCCCCAGTAGGTCAGCCAGGCAGAAACGTTCATCTCATTTTTTTTTATTGAGTTCCCTTTCCTCCTAAGGTGATGCCACAGGCAGGATCTTGTTAGGAGAGCCTGTCTAGTCTGTGGTAGGCAGCTTTCAAAGATGGCCCTCAAGAATCCTTGCATAATCCCCTTCACCCCCCACCCCCTAGAACAGTGGTTCTCAACCTTCTGGCCCTTTAAATACAGTTCCTCATGTTGTGACCCAACCATAAAATTATTCTCGTTGCTACTTCATCACTGTAATGTTGCTACTGTTATGAATCATCATGTAAATATCTGATATGCAGGATGGTCTTAGGCGACCCCTGTGAAAGGGTCGTTCGACCGCCAAAGGGGTCGAGACCCACAGGTTGAGAACTGCTGCACTAGAAGGTGGGCTGAAGCTGACTTCTCCTGAATAGAATAAGACAAAAGTGGTGGGTTGTAACTTACCATGATGAGGCTACAGAAGACTGCTGCTTCTGTCTTGCTAGACCCTCTGTTACATTCTTGGTTTGCACACTCTGATGACACAAGCTGCCATGTTGGAGAAGCCTGCATGGCAAGGACCTGATGGCTGTCTCAGATGCCTGTAAGCCTGAGGCCCTCAGCTTAACAGCCAGGAATGCAGCCCTAATCCGTTTGGCTCAGTAGATAGAGCGTCGGTCTGTGGACTAAGGGCCTTGTTTGTAGGCTCCTCCCAGGCTCAGGCCCTGGTTGGGGCTCGTGCGGGAGGCAACCAATTGATGTGTTTCTATCACATTAATGTTTCTCTCTGTTTTTCCTTCTCTCTTCCACTCTCCCTAAAAGTCAATGGAAAAATATATCCTACCCTGGGCTGATTTGGCTCAGTGAATAGAGCATCGACCTGGGGACTGAAGGGTCCCGGGTTCAATTCCAGTCAACGGCACATGGCTGGGTTGCGGGGTTCGGTCCCCAGTAGGGGGTGTGCAGGAGGCAGCCAATCAATGATTCTCATCATTGATGTTTCTCTCTCTCTCTCTCTCTCTTCCTCTCTGAAATCAATAAAAATACATTAAAAAAAGAAAAATATATCCTCAGGTGAGGATCAACAACAACAAAAGAAAATAAACAGGAATGCAGCCACCAGCCCCAGCTAACACTGTGATCACAGCCTGTGAAACACACGAAAGCAGAGCAGCCGGTTTAGTGTTGCCCAGATTTCTGCCCCACGGACACTGTTCGATCATCAATGGTGTTTTAAGACCCCCAAGTTTTGGGGTAACTTTTTATACAACAATAGATAACTAATAACACATAGTCCGAGCACATGTTACCTTCGGAGCCATCTATTATTCCAGGCTACTTGGTCAGAGTGTGTCTGCTGTGTTAGTGCCATCATTAGACTACAGGCACGTTTATTCAAGACTGTGTCTAGTCACATTGGCCTAGGTTTACCAGATAGCCACATTCTACTCTACAGATGTTCTGGGAGGCTGGGGCCCTCTTTCTTGTAATTCATAGTTCTCCACCTTCTCCTCCTCTTTTTGTTCCTCCCATTCTTTTATTTTTCATCTTTCTCCTTCCAGCCTTGGCTGCTGTCTTCTCGTGGAGGGGAAACTCCTTCTGACTTCTTCATTGGCTCTACTCTGCCCATGCCCGCACACCTCAGTCTACCCTCTGTCCCTTGAAATCAGAAAGTGAAGAGATCTTTAAAGCCTTGAATTGTCATCATTTCTTTGGTATCAAACTGGCATGTCTCTGGCTGGTCTAAACCAGTCAACAACCTTTTATCTATTTGATTCCAATCATCTACCTGTGCCAATACTCACGCCTACATTTTTTGGAAACATACCTATGTTTCTGGCACCTTGACTACCCATTTCTTGGGTATTTGTCATGTGTGATATGAGTAATTCATTGGCATAGTCTTGGAAGAATTTTCAAACTTTTTGGGTTTATGAGAACTATATTATGTTGGCAATATGAGCTGTGATCAGATTGTAAGATCAGAATGATACCGGGGATATTTTGCCTGTAGGTAATGGCAGGGTAGGGATGGTGATTAATATATAAATATTTGGAGAACATAATATTTTAGTTTTGAGTTGTATACTAAGAAAAGACAAATCAGAGAAATGGCAAGCCAGGATAGATAAGGATTTATCGAAACTGGCACACTTTAGTTTTCCTTGTTATAGTACCGGAGTATCTCATGTCCAGAGAATGAAAGAAGAATGGCATCTCTACTGGTTTCCTTTTGATTTTTTGAATCTGCAATTTCCACTTAGATTCATTGCAGTACTTTTATTATTTGACTTTAAATTGGATTTTCTTATCATCGATGATCTCAAACTTCCTTTGTTGCTAATGTGTTTGTTTAGGGTTTACACAGTATTTCTTGTTACTGGAATTCCTGTCTCTCAAAAATGCTTCAGATTATGTCCTTCCTGTTTGCTCAGAATTCATATTTGAATTGCAGTGGGAATAATGTTTTTTGTTTGTTTGTTTTGTTTTTTTGGCAGAGAGAGAAAGAGAGATGGATGGAGAGAGACAGACTGAGAAATGATGGGTAGGGCAGAGGAGGAGGATCGAGAGAGACTGATTAGCTAGTGAGAACCCTAGAATAAAGTCCTAATAGAAGTTAAATTCTTGATGACAAGTACAGTGTCTTACTCATCTCTTTAATCCTCAGAAGCAAACAGGGCTTGACACAAAGTAAGTCCTCAGAAAATGTCTGTGTTTGTGGAAGCAATAAAGAGAGAAACTGGGTCTGACCTCAGAGGCAACAATGACTAGATGCATTGGTCCCTGTGAAAGGTGAGAAAGGAATGTTGGGAAGTACCTGGCATTTGCATGTCAATTATAATTTTAAAAAACATGTAAAGCTTATCCTATCTAATTTAATTCTAAAACAACTCTGTAGATTTAAAATTCCCATCTACCACCCTGGCTGGTGTGGCTCAGTTGGTTGGGTGTCCTCTTGTGCACCATAAGGTTGCCAGTACTCTTCTAGGTCAAGGGCACATGCCCTAGTTTTGGGCATGATTCCCAATTGGGGGCGTGCAGGAGGCAGCGAATAGATGTTTCCCTGTTGCATCTCTCACTCTCTCTCTCTCTCCCTCCTATCCTTTCTCTCTAAAAATCAATTAAAAAATCTTTTTTTTTTTTAAAGCACCTATTGCTCTCAGTTTGGGAGGTGCCAGCAGGGCTGTTTACCCAGGTGCTGGGGACGGTGTGTGAAATTCTCACTTACCTGTGAGGAAAGGAGAATCAGAGAAGTGTCTATCCCAGGAACACTGGTAATAGTGTCAGGTCTTATTTACAACTCCTGGTCCTATTCCAAATTGCTGGCTCCAATATGCTTTCTTGTTTTAGGTTGCTATTAAAAAAAACAGTAGCAAGAAGCAAGTTAATATCTTTATTCCTTTCAAATGTATAGTTCCCTATGATCTTCATGAGACCTATTGTTACCAAAAAAAAAAAAAAAGGAAAGAAATGATGAAAATCAAAGGGTGTTTACCCTCAGCCTGGTGACACTGGCTCTGTGGAACGTTGTGCAAAAATACAAAGGAGGAAGTAACCCAAGACCTGACCACAGGGTTGTGTTGCCTCAATGTTTCTACTATGGCAAAACCACGACTGTGGCAACGCCCCTGCTACCACACTCTCTGCCCCGTGCCCACCCTTTTCCCTTCCCCACAGGGGCAGTTGTTCCATTCGAATGTCAGGCAGTGGCCTTGGAGAAGCTGGTAGTGTTCCCTGGCACTGACCAGGAGCCAGGCCCTTAGACAATCCAAGTGACTAGTTGGAGCACATATTCTGCCCCTGCTCATCCTGCATGCTGCTTTTCATTTTCATCTTTGATAATTGCACTGTGTCAGAATGACCTGTTGCTATGTTGGTCTGCTTGACCACACTGCTAAGTGCCT